CTTAAAGAAACAGCATAATGAAATAAGAGAAAGTGTGGCAGGCCAAAATTCTAAAAGGAATATAAATGCAGGCCTGACACAACCTGTCTGTCTAATTTAGGGAGACCAATATTTCCCACTTGCATTTGCAGTAGATTTTCAAGATGTACGAAAGTGTCTCTTTCATCACATATTATTCAGTTACTTGTACTTGAGACAGTTGGCCTTCAACGTTGTGCTCTGTCTCAAAGCTGTAGTCTCTTCCACAAACCAAGGATTTGTAATGGACTATGGAATAATCTTTAGGAAGAGGTGGAAGAGCTGCAACCCAGACAACAGACAACAGTCAGATAAAAGAAATCAAGCATCCAGAATTCCCCAGCCACCTAGCTTCAGGTTGGCTGGGAGTTTGGGGAATTGAAGTCTACATGTCTTAAAGTTACCATGGTTGAGAGACACTTATCTATAGGCTCAGAGAAGTAGGGCTAAAAGAGCTAAAATTTTCCAGAGCAAAAATTGGTATTCTTGAGATGTATTGGACTACAAATGGTATCATCCCACATAGCTGCAAGTAAAGTTGCAGCAGAATGTATCTACCGTATATAATGGAGAATTGAGGAATATATAGTATATACACTAATGGTTAGACGGTTAGACCTCATTGTAGCAAAACCAACAATTTTTTTTGCAAACTGAATGGGCTTGGTAGAAAATTCCCCAGAACCTTGTGCAAGATGTCCAAACTTCTGTATTACAACATAAAGAGTCCTGAAAGTGTTAAGAAAAAATTGATAATTGTAATTCTGAACAATAGACAAGCAGGACCATGCTACAATGGGATTGGATGGATTATTTCTTTATATTCGTTCAAAGTCTTCCAGAGGATAGAGAACAAGTTGTTGCCTCCTTCTGTGGGACAGTGTCAAGGAATTGAGCAGTAGGCGTCCAAATGAAGTCAGACATCAACTTGTAGTTTTATATAAATAAATCTATTTGACATCAATATATGCAGCAAACTAGATAGTTAGGCACATCACTACATCATGTGGTAAATCATCAGATACACCACAAAACAGTCTATAGAGAAGAAAAAGGCGGGGGGAAAGGGAACCTCCCCCTTTACACCCAGTAACCAATCATAATGTAGATTGCCTCATGCAGGAGCCTGCACTCTCTAACCTGTCGGTGTCAAACCTGCGATGTCAGGTTGTTGTTACGTGACGTATCACGTTTTTCCCTTTTGCAGAGCTGGGGTGGGGGTGGCCTGCGCATGACACATCTGCCAGTTTGATACCCATGCATAGTCTAAACACTCAACTATCACTTTGTGTACTGGCCCATTATCCATTTAATTGTTGCAGCTATTAAATTAAATATTTCAACAAACAGTTCTTTACATTTGAAACTTGTGCACTTGCCTTCATCATCTTTTGTCCTCCAAGCAAAGTATACTCACTCACAGAACATGTCTCCTGTACAGGTAGTCCTCAGGTTATGACCAAAATTGAGCCCAAAACTTATGTTGCTAAGCAAAACATTTCTTAAGCGAGTTTGCCCCATTTTACAACTTTTCTTACCATAGTTGTTAAGTGAATTATTGTTAAGTTGGTAAGACGGTTGATAAGTGAATCTGGATTCCCCATTGACTTTGCTTGCCAGAAGGCCGCAACAGGGGATCGCATGACGCACACACACACACCCCGGACACTACAATTGTCAAAGATATGAGTCAGTTGCCAAGCGTCTTAATTTTGATCATGTGACCATAGGGATTCTGCAACAGTCGTAAGAGTGAAAAATGGTCATAAGTCACTTTTTTCAGTACCATTATAACTTTGAATGGTCACTCAATGAACTGTTGTAAGTCAAGGACTACCTGTATTTTTGACCAAAAGCATTGCCATTCTTTGAAGCTATTTGAGAGTGTCTGTCGCTTTTTTCGTGGGATGCGAACACAGTTCTAGATATGGAAGGGCCAGGTTGAATGTTGGCGAACCTTTTCGGCACACTGAGTGCCAAAACGGGAGTGTGTGCGCGCATGCCTGGGAGCGCGAGAAACTGGAAGAGCCGTTCCCTGGTGTGCCTCCGGTTACCTGGTCTTTCAGTTTCTGCTGTGCATGTGTGCGCAAAGACCAACTGGCCAGCAGAAACCAGAAGCATGCAGGCCAGGGAACTGCTCTTCCAATTTTCAACGCTCCCGTACGAATGAAGACCAGTTAGCCAGCGCTCAAGTGCATGCTGGAACCCGGAAAAGCAACAGCTGGCATGGCCGGAGAGATGGCTCTGTGTGCCACTTCCAGCACGTGTGCCATAGGTTCACCATCACGGTCCTAGATCTCGAACTTGTTTCCATTTAAAACTGCCTTTAACATGTATTTTTGGTATAACACCATCTTGCTACTCTCCTTCCACAACTTAGTGTTCCCTACTTATATTTAACTACGTGATTTTGCGCTGCACCCCATTCAGAGAGGGACTATAAAAAGGCACCCGTTTGGAGAGTTTTGTTCAAACAACTTTGCCATCAACATGCAGATGGTTAAATGCACATTCCAGGTTCCTCAACAGAATCCATGTGAATCCTTTACGATTTCCCTTCCATGAACATTTGCCTTCTTTTTTTTTTTTCTGGCCAGGGCTTTGGTTGACATTCTCAGGCATCAAGCAGGCACCACCTCATGTTCTGAGCGCAACAACAGCCTTGTGATGAACTCAAACTTCCAAGACAATGGTTCAGCTCATCCTCCGAAGAATCTGTACAATGCAGTGAAACCTTCAAAAAGTAGTCATGGTAAGAGAAAGAGACGTGGGGCTGCTGGGTAAGAGAGCGACTTTCAAACTAGCCACTGAATTCCTGCCTTTACCAGGTGCTTGTCCAAAGATAATTTTACAGCGAGGCACATGTGATCTACTCTTTACTTTGCTGACCTCAGTGGACCAGTGATTTGATGCTGTCACTGGTGTTGGTCGTTTTAAATATTGGGGAAAGGGCTCATTGACTTCTAAGCAGTGAAAATAATGCTACAACAAATATCTAACAAAGAGCCACGGTGGCACAGTGGTTAGAATGCAGTACTGCAGGCTACTTCTGCTGGCTGCCGGCAGCCTGCAATTTGGCAGTTCAAATCTCACCAGGCTCAAGGTTGACTCAGCCTCCCATCCTTCCGAAGTGGGTAAAATGAGGAGCCAAATTGTTGGTGGCAATAAGCTGACTGTGTAAACCGCTTAGAGAGGGCTGTAAAGCACTGTAAAGCGGTATATAAGTCTTAAGTGCTATTGCTATTATCTTGCTTCTTCTATTTGCAAAATAATAATAATAATAATCCAAAACATACTATGAAATTCCAGTGGTATGATCTAAGAGTGAAGATGCAATAAGGCAGTATTTTTTCAGCCTTGACAACTTGAAGATATGTAGACTTCAACTCCCAGAAATGCTGGTTGGGGAATTGTAGGCAGTTGAAGTCCACCCATTTTCAACTTGCCAAGATTGAGAAACATTGCAATAAAAGATATCAAGCTCAGGCATAGTAAGGTAAACATCTTGGCCTTTGTTTCTTGGAAATCATTTTCAAATTCTCGATTAGGCCGCAAAAGTTCTGATTAAAATAAGTTGCATCAGGAACAGTGTGAGTGACATAGCTTGGTTTCTCAGCTAAGAAGCTTTGAACTGGCCAATGGTCCAAAATATTCTTTTTCCTTTTTACAACCCTGTAATCCATTTGGCTGTAATGCTAAACCATGGTTTGTGCAAACTGAGAAATATCCGTGAGTAGGTCATGACATTTGAGCCAACCCCATCTTGCAAAGCATGGAAAAGCCGTGAAATCAAGACGGAAAACACAGGTTTCAAGAAACATTCTCCTGGATGTTGGCTCACTGTTGAATCAAACATAACCACCAAAGAAGTCAAAAAAGGTAAACGTTTCATTATTTGTCTGTAGATCTGACACTTCTATTGTTTGGAGTCTAAATTCAGGTGGGAATAAATTAGGATCCAAATGGAAGATCTTTTCAAACCTCTTTGGATAAAAACGAAGTTAGATAAATGTCACTGAGAGTAGAAACAACAATATATCTACACAATGCAGTATACTTTCCTAGAACCACTGAGATAACTTTTTGCCAACTACCAGCACTCTCCTGCCCCATGTTTTGTCTCCATCCTGTCCTTCCCCTCTGCAATTTCCCCTCTAGGAGTATCTCATGCTAACTTCTGCAAGTTGGAGGTTGCAGCATTTAAATTATATATGTATCAGCAGCAGGAACTAATCTGCAAAAAAAAAAAAAAAAAAAAATCCGGGGAAACAGCCTGTTTGCCATGACAACCAGTTCTGGCTGTCTGGCTGTCTTTGTGCTGGCTCAAACATTAATATTAGGGTAGTGAGGAGGGGGAGAGAACTGCATTCAGACACTCCTTTTGCTCCTTTTCCAGGTGAAAAGAAAAGTCAGGTTTTCTGTTCAAGGACGTTGCACATTCTTCTCAGAGATATTAAGAGCCCAGCCAGGGAAATGACTAATCATTCTAATAGCAAATTCAGGTAGTGATTGTAACAAGAGTAGCCCAAACAGAGCAAAAGACAAATGATAGGAAAGGCATCAGCATGCATAGGAGAGCACAAGCTTTGTAGGAGACGGGAGTGGGTAAATGTAAAATCTGCTGTCCAGTTGCTGCAAAACATACTGATGCTGTTCCTTGTTTTCTGTGTCTTTGTCTTCTCTTTGTTTAGCCTATTTGAAAAAAATATCAGTAAGAGGAAAGGGAAGAGAGAGTGCTAGCACTAGACAAAACCTGGGAATCATACAAAGTTGTCCACTTTTCTCTCTCTCCACTGAGCTGCCTATGCCTGCTCTGTAAACAGTAGCGTTCAGCTTTCGGTGGCGAGAAGAATCGCCAGTGATTTCTGCAGATCACATTCCTCCAGCACGTGCAATCTAGGAAAGCAAGTTTCAAAAGGAGACCTAATAAGATCATTTCCCTTTGCAGAGAGCGTTCTGAGCACTGCCATGTTTGGACGCAGACCAAAAGCTGCAAAGAGGAGGACCAAATGCATTTGG